ACGATAACGACAATCGAGAACCGAGCTGCTCTTACTGGGCTAGACGAAAATTTCTCCGAACAAGTTCCTATTCTTCGGTCTTAGTTGCGGAAAATCGCTGTCTTTTAACGATAAAGAATTTGATCTAATCTAATTTGAGCTAATATTTTTGACAAAAATCAATGGCTCTTCTATTTTAATTTCGTCAGAAGGAAGATTAACCCCTTAACGCGCAGAAACGTATTAACACGGGCGTGCAAAACCGGCCAAAATGTGCAGACCCGTATATATAAGGGTCGGCGTCGCAACTTATGTTATGTTGCCTATATTAATTGAAAAACAGTACGATGGGTACAAAATTCGATCTGCAATGCGATTCAATATTCACTATAATTATTTATCCACTATTTTTATTGAATTTTTAGTAATTTTTGCATTTTTTTTACATATTTATTGAAATTAAGGTCCAAATATGTATTTTCTTAGATAAAAAAAATTGATTTTTTTTGGTCGGTTTTTTTTAAAAATTGTGCATTAAGGGGTTAAAATTACCATGAAGACTCTTTCGTAGGAAATCGTGGAATAGCGAACCGTCCAGTTGAATTCATATTCTCCTCATAATAAATACTCGCTATTAAATTACTTTTAGTAAGCTCAGCATTAAGTCGACAAAGTCCATTTATCCAGAATTTGTCAATTTACGTAAATAAGAAATTACACGAAGATCAGACCTTTAAACTTTCGCAGAGTTGCGCTTATTTATTATTCGAATAACGTATGAAATTTGATTCGAAGAATGTATTCGAAATATTTCGCGAATAAACTTAGGTCCTATTAAATCATACAAACGAAGTACACATAATCCGGAACAAAAACATCAGTGTTACAGAGAACAAGATTTTACGACAGATACAGTAGCATTAGTAAAATGATTTTATTCGATGTATCATCCAAATAAAATGTTATTCGAAGGATTTATTCGATGTATTATCAGAATCAAATCTTATTCGAAGTACATAATCGAAATATTATTCGAATAAAATTTAATTCGAATAAAGTTTAATTCGAATAATACCGAACTCTGCGCTTCACATCAAGTCACGCAAATCCTCGGTGTCCACTTCCCCCAACGACCGAATAATAGCTGTTTACACCTACACCTGGATCGGAACACCAACACAGCTCTGCTCCAATTTGTTGCACTCTCGATGCTCGTCGATAGCTTGCCGCGATCGCGTGTTATCGAGCCAGAAAGCGATTACCAGTCGTGTTTCCGTCGATTCTAACGAAAGTAAGAGTTCGTCAGCCGGTCTGACAGCGAAAGGAGCGAGACAGGGAGGAGAGCGAGAGAGAGAGAGAGAGAGAGAGAGAGAGAGAGAGAGAGAGAGAGAGAGAGAGAGAGAGAGAGAGAGAGAGAGAGAGAGAGAGAGAGAGAGAGAGAGAGAGAGAGAGAGAGAGAGAGAGAGAGAGAGAGAGAGAGAGAGAGAGAGAGAGAGAGAGAGAGAGAGAGAGAGAGAGAGAGAGAGAGGGGGGAAGGAGAGGAGAGCGAGCCGGTCGAAGACAATAAAAATCTTGGTCGACGGGTCCCGATCGAATCTCGAATCTCGGGGCGACGAGCGAGATCGTCCGGTACAGCGGGACGCGTGGGCGGGCGTCCCGTCGATTGTTTACTCGATTATTTTGGAGATAAAATCGCGTGCAATTTACGCGGCGGCCCCGTCCCGAATTTAATACCGGATCCCATTATTCGAGGACCGGTTCGCCGGCTGGCGAGCCCGCTGAAAAATAATGAAAATCCTGCTGACTCGTTGCCGCTTCCGGGTCAGTGGCTGTTTTCCAGAAACTCGAGTGTCTCCGGCACGATAAGATTATTGCCGGGCGCAAGACTGTCACGCTCGCAGCCACTGCTGGACTATTTTCCACTGTGCGACCTCGTCGCTGGGCTACTTGGAACTTTGGCGCTGTTAGGCGATTCGATTATTAATTAGCCGCGGGTACAGTCTTCCACTGGGAACGCGATTACTGCGCCAAGATCTACAGTGACTGCCATATACTTAAGGACACTTGAAGAACTGCGCAACTTGTTTAAGACTGCACTAAATAACTCGAATTATTCTTTGGGTGACAGAAAGGTTATATATTAGACGATAACTGTAACATTTTCTTTAAATGTTGCTATTACTTGGAATGACAAAACAAGAAATAAAAAGTCTCGATGTAGATCTCGGACACTTATATACATGCTGAAATTTTCATTGCAAGTTTTAGTCGTTCTGTCGTCCGAACGAAATTCGAGTCATTTAGTTTAGTTCGAAAAAAGTTATACCGTTTTTTAAGTGTCCTTAAGTACACGGCCGTCACTGTATGTTGAGTACATTATTTGTTCAATGCGAGAGACGTTTCTTGGGTGAGATAACTAGATTGTACATGTCTCTGCAGAATAAGAATATTCTGCGTTAGCTGCAGTAAGCAGTAATAAGCACTAAAATTTGCCTGCACGAATTAAAAGAAATATCGGTTCACTAAAAATCGTCCAATCGTCAATCTCCAAAAATAGAGGCTCGTTAGAAATGTGTCTCTTCTGTCGACGATGTTAGTAAGTTGAGAACAGTCCGACGATATCTATATTATCTCCGGGATACATGGCCAAATCAGTTTCAATGGAAAATTCACAAAAGATTTAGCGAACCATACGGAACGGCAGTTTTACCTGCGTCTCGCGTTCATTATGCGCGGCTCCGTGCTCGAGTCTTCCGTTCATTGCGTTTCCCGCGTTCCCCTAAATAATAAATCACTCGCAGTTAGAAAGTGGAACATAAGTTCCTTAGATTCGCTGCGGATACGCTGTTGTATGTTGTTTATGCGGCTTCCTGCTTGTGGATGTTCGCGGAATGCTTAGATTTTCGGGGATTTATAACCGAGAAGTATACAGGGTGTCCCGGGATTTTCTCGCCCGCAACTGGATTCGGGGCTCGATCATTTTCATCGTACGGTTTGTGCAGTTACAAACATGTCGGATAGATCTGTGCTTATCATCGCTCGCTACCAATTATGGAACAGACCCGCGCAAAGAAACGGAAGTGACTGAGATACTGTCTAAATGTTTCTGTAACAAATCGTTAATTCGCACAAACTTCATGTAACATTTCTTTCTTCTCCTGGCCCGTAGCTTAAGCTTTCGCAGTTTGGCGGAAAATTCCCGGGACACCGTGTATAAAGCGAATTATAATGCATTTCCTTAGAATTAATAACGGGGAAGTTAACCAGCCCGCGATTTCTTTTCCAATGCCGAGCACACTTTCTACACAACAATTTAGTGGAAAATTCGTGTCATATTTATTCCTGCTGGGTTATAAAATCGTTGCGTAACACATTCTTGCCGATTTTAATGGGAAATCGAAAAATCTGTGTACAATTCGCGAACATTTACTGTGAATCTCACGTTCGACGATGCGCTTTCCAAGATGAAATACGGTAAAACTCCTTCGAAACCAGCGAATTCTGAAAACATTCACTTGTATAATTAAAATATTTAATATCTTCAAAACCAACAATAAGAGTTTGATAACAGGCATATTCAAAGGAATTTGTTTCAAACATATGACAAAATTTATAAAAGCAGATTATTATTAAGCTATTAGTACCTGTCTCGCATACAATGTGTTAAGAATCAGTTTGCAAAACTCACTGTGTCCTACATCTCAAATAAAACGATCGCCGTGGACGACAGAGTACAGTAAATTCTCCCTAATCGACGCTCAGATTGCGCATAAAAATGGACAATTTGAGAAGAGGAGATACTATTATTCGAGCCTCGCGGCTCGTTTTTCTAGTTACCGATTATCAAAAACTATAAAAACGATCCGCGAGACTGGAATAATCGTATCACCTCTTCCGAAAATTGTCCATTCTCGTTTCCAAGCCGAGCGTCAATTAGGGCGGGATTTACCGTATCAGCGACGTAATCGGGATCGCCGAATATAGGCTGAATCGGAGCAGCCCTCGTTTCCCCAGCGGAAGGTTCGCGGCCGACGATTCTCAGTGGCGTAAACCGCGCGTCGCACTCGGTCTCCGCTGCTTAATTTTTATCGTGGATGTCGGCGAGCGGTTCCAAATATAAACCCCTTGGTCGGTGCGCGCCGTGCCATCCATTCCCGGCCCCGTCGTCGCAGAGTTTATTTTCTATGGTCCGGCGACACGTGCGCGCGCGAACATCGTCGCCGCGTCTGCTCGTCTCCTCGTCACCTCGGCTGCTCTGCTCCTCGAGGAGCCGAAAACTTTCCGCCGAAAAATCCGCGAACTTCGCTCCCTCAGTCGCGGCGGGCACGAGAGAGCTCTCCCTCGAGAGTGACCCGGGACGTTTGTCGCTCGGACCTGTGCTCGCCTCCTCGCCTGTGTCTGTGCGCCTCCGGAAAAGTTTCGTCGAACGTGTCCGAGAGAGCGTCGCGACGCGAAACTTGGTCGCCGTCGCTCGGAACATGAGAACGATCGAGGAAAACAAGCGGTGCTCGGCAAAACACTGACTCGACGGTTCTGCGAACGGTTCTTCGGGTGTCTGAAGAGGGTGGAGGACACGGGAGAGGAGGATGTCGAGGTTCTTCCGCAAGATGATCCTCTGCGGATGCTCGGCCAGCGGGCCGCCGGCTATCGACTCGAGGACCTTCGTCGTCGACGAGAACGACGACGACGACGACGGGTCCAGGTCGTTCGCAGAGGCCGAGCAGACCGTGGAGGACATCGCGAGACACTTCGATCTGTCCGCCATTAGGTTCATAGACGACGAGGAGCCGGACGAGGACGGAGCCGGAGGCTCGGTCAGGAACGGCGGAGGTCCGACACAAGCGGCGAGAAAACGGATCGATCCGCTTTCCTCTCGTCGCCTATCTCTTTCTCTCTCTCTCTCTCTCTCTCTCTCTCTCACTTTCTCGCGATCTATCCCGATTTCTCTGTTCAAGCGTACACGTAACAGCACTCGACGCCGATTACCGAGGATTAATCCGACTGATATTGTTTTTGTGCAGAGTTGGACGGCTTCAAGGCTGGCCGGGTGCGGAAGGCTTGGGTCATCGCCGTCGAAAGGTAATTAATGCACACTCTTCGGCGTTACAGTTGATCGCGCCGGGTTTCGCACGCCAGACGCGGATTTCGCGTGTTTCAGGAAATACAGCAGGTTCTGCTCAGCGATGTACATTATTATTATTATTATTACCGTTATTATTGATTAATTGAACGGGCAAAGTACCGTTTAGATTACAGGATATAATATACACGGCGATTTAATTCGAAAGTACATAGTGTAAATTGCGTTGGAATATTTGGGAGTCGGACAAAATTGATGTTGTTGCTGTAGGAGTTTACATATCTGATGATAATAGACTGCGGATTTTTTTGCATTTGTGACAGAAACGAATAGATCGTCGAATGCAAAATAGCAGAAACGTTTGTACAATTTGGAAGTATCATCGTGTTACCGTCAACTCTCATTAGAATGATCAAGAAAAGGAAGAAATGTCTACGTAGTTCTCACATCTTGCAATTGATCGCGATAATTTTTATTTTGCACGAAAGTCCGCTGTCTAGTAATAAATGATCGAATTCGGTAAATATCGTTGGCAGACTACGAATTTTATACGACGAAAGCGAGTGGACAACGTAAGAGTACACTTCATTTGTCGCACGCTTCTTGCGATCGGTGGATCCTTTCCACCTGAAAATCCGCAGTCTAATCATTAGAGCAATAATGAATAGTTGAACAAATATCCGGTATAACAGTGCATTGAGATCTCAAGAAAATAGAAAGAATCGTTTGTTTGCACGTATTCGATCAACGTCGATCCCAAACACGGAAAATTGAATAACAGGCTTTTTAACGATCGAGGTGATCGACAGCAGAAAAGAAGTAATTAAGCCACTCCGGATCTGATTAGTTTCTCGCCGCAGATCTTGATCGGGGTTCTGGCTGATCCGAGCCGCAAATCGCCGGTTCTAGAAAGCCTGTTAAATAACCGCTGCCGAGGCGTTAAATGAAAAGCGTGTTCGTAACAGGTGATGTCTCTCGGTTGCAGGCGCGCCGAGGAAAGACTGAAGAGGCTAGCGTCCCATTGGAAGATCCAGCCCTGCGATATCCAAGCGATCCTCCAGCAAGAGGTAAGCGCCGTCGGTGTAACAAGCGATCGCGGGAACCTAGGCTTTTCCAGTCCGGCCGTCTCGTCTCGATCGGCCCGCGGAAAGAAGATCTCGCTGGCCTTTCACCGAGTCGGATTAACAACGCCTTACGTAACCCCATAGAAACACGCGAACGCGAGTCGGTCCCGCGAAACGAGGAGGGCAATCGTGTCGAGGAGGAGTCCGTCGACCGTTTGCCGATGGCCGGACCTCGCGATCTTTCGGTTCTGCTGCGTCTCCGCCTGGAGAATAACTTCGAAGTCTGTGCTGTGGTTTCGTTTGAGAAGGAGATTCTATGGGAGCTAATTTCGATGACTATCGTATCACAATTCATTTGACCAGGTTTAAACGGTGACTACAATTTGGAACAAGTTTCGAAGTTTATACAATGGTCACGTTTCGGAAGGAATTTCTCTTGTAAACACTCTTTTGTGGAAGTACTTTCGACGTCCGTCACAATTCGTTTGAGGAAATGAGGTTTAAATAGTGACTATAATTAGGGACAAGTTTCGAATTGTACACCGTGATCCCGTTTGGGAAGAAGTGTACCTAGTAAATTCACTTTTCAAGCGCTGGTTTTGACATCTGTCTCATCATGAATCAGGTTTAATTAGTGACTACAATTAGGTATAAATTTTGAGGTCTATACCATGGGCCCATTTAGGAAGAAATTTCTCTAGTAAACTCTCTTTTATTGAAGTACTTTCGACGTCCATCTTATCACAGTTCGTTTGCGCAAATGAGGATTAAATAGTGACTATAATTAGGGACAAGTTTTGAAGTATACATCATAGTTCTGTTTGGGAAGAAATATACTTAGTAAACTCTTTTTTTCAGCAGCTAGTTTCGACGTCTATCTTATGGTGTTTCATTTAATCGAATGAGGTTTAATTAGTGACTACAGTTAGGTATAAATTTTGAGGTTTATACCATGGGCCCATTTGGGAAGAAATTTCTCTTGTAAACTCTCTTTTATAGGGGCACTTTCGACGTCCAACTTATCGCAATTCGTTCGAGTAAATGAGGTTTAAACAGTGACTATAATTAGAGACAAGTTTCGAAATATACACCATAATCCCGTTTGGGAAGAATTATACCTAGTAAACTCCCTTTTCAAGAGCTGGTTTCGACATCTGTCTCATGGTGTTTCATTTGATCGAATCAGGTTTAATTAGTGACTACAATTAGGGGTAACTTTTGAGGTCTATATCATGGACCCATTTGGGAAGAAATTTCTCCAGTAAACTCTTTTTTATGGAGGTACTTTCGATGTCCATCTTATCGCAGTTCGTTTGAGCAAATGACGATTAAATAGTGACTATAATTAGGGACAAGTTTCGAACCTTGAACCATAGTCCAGTTTGGGTAGAAGTATACCTAGTAAACTCCCTTTTCAAGAGCTGGTTTCGACAGCTGTCTCATGGTGTTTCATTTGATCGAATCAGGTTTAATTAGTGACTACAATTAGGGGTAAATTTTGAGGTCTATATCATGGACCCATTTGGGAAGAAATTTCTCTAGTAAACTCTCTTTTGTAGGGGCACTTTCAACGTCCAACTTATCACAATTCATTCGAGTAAATGAGGTTTAAATAGTCACTACTATAATTAAGGACAATTTTCGAAGTTTGTGGTCTCGTTTGGGAAGAAGTATACCTAGTAAACTCTCTTGTTAGCAGCTAATTTCAACGTCTATCTGTTTCATTCGATTGAATGAGGTTTAATTAGTGACTACAGTTAGGGGTAAGTTTTGAGGTCTGTACCATGGACCCATTTGGAAAGAAGTTTTTCTAACAAATTATCTTTCGTGGTGGTAGTTTCGGCGACCATATTATGGCATTTCATTTGATCAAGAGCTTTAAGCAGTGACTACACTTCGGGACAAGTTTCGGGGTCCGTGCTGTACTCCCACGTTTGGGTACGCGAATTTCTTTGGTGTGTCTTCTTTTCGAAGCTAGTTCCAATATCCATGCGGCACCTCCGCATTCGAGTAAATTTCAAGTGTTTCCACTAACATACATGTTTCGAGGTCTATCCTGCGACTCCATACGAGAACAACAAGTCTGTGCAGCGCATCCTCCCTCGGTGGATAAGTTTCCGAAGTTCACCCGACCGAGGTCCGGTTCAGAGATTTCGTCTCCGTCTCCACTGGAAGACAAGTTTCGAGTTCACCGATACGTTTCAGTTCCTACGCTGCATTCCTCTCTGGTACGCATGCTTCAGGTTTTCAGTTACGTCTACACTCGAGACCGATCTTCAAGGTTCGCTCCTTCACGGAAGAACGAGCAGCTTCGTATTTCATCCTTGGCATTCGAACTGGTTATTAGCGAATCGCGTCTATAGCTCGATCTGTTTATCGTCGGGACAGTGCCGTCCGTTTATAGGAGATCTCCATAGTTACATAGAAGAATCGCAACAATCGCAACAATCGCAACGATCGCAGTCCTATTCATCGGAGAGTTGTTCGGTTTCGAAGCGATTCAGTCTGCGGGACGTTTCCGTAGTTGACTCGACATCTAAGCGAAACATTCCGATGTCGAAGAAGCGCAGTCAACACGCAGCAGAAACGATCGATCGCGGCACTCGTTCCCCGCGGAGTACAATGCCGAGGATCGTGGCCTATCTCTCGCTCCTGGCCATTGTATTCAATACAATTAGTTCGTATTCCGTCCGCGTGCCCACCGCGGATCTATCGGACATACTGATCGGAAGCTCGCGGACCGGCGAATCGGCGGATTGGCGTCTTGTCCAAGCGGAGACAAGCGAGCGGATTCGGTCACGGAGGCTGCTTATGACATGTGGAATGCAAAGTAAATGAGCCTGAGTGAGCGGCGGTCGCGCGATCATGCGCGGCCTTGGCCGAAGCGCAGCTCCGCCGGCGTATTCCACAGGTTGCGCCCCGAAAAAACGTTTTCGCTTCTCTCTGACTTTGTGCGAGCCGACTTGGCCCCTCTCTCTCTCACTCTATCTCCGACTCTCTTGGTCTCTCTGTCTCTCGCTTTTCTTTTCCCATTGCTTGACGCGCCGCGAAAGAGCATCGATCGGGAACGCTTTTCCCGGACGGTGGATCTCCCGCTCTCTCTTTCTCTCCTCCCTCTTTGACTTTGTCTCTCTCTCTCTCTCTCCCTCCCTTTCTCTCCTATGTACGTCTGTTTTCCCTGCTGTGGCAAAGCGCGATCGTTTGCCAGGTAACACACGGCTCTCTGATCGTTTCGCGTGCTCGGTTCTGTGCAGATCAACGAGTCGGCCGCGTCCACCAGCGAGGACAGCGCGAGCAAAAATGTGACGGGCAACCAAATTACCGTGACGGTTGCCGACAAGTAAGTGCCATTTCATTCCTGACGGTTCCCCGCTTTCGGCGCCCCCCCAGCGACACGATTTTCTTTTTACTTCGTCCCGTTGGTCTTTTTTCTTTCCAGTCGTTCCGTTGGGAAGATCGCCGCGGCGAGCCGCGCGCGCCGGCGTCCGGGCGACCACGCTCGTAAACCGGTATTGACAGACTGTTAAATTTTATAGGACACACTTGTGGATCGTCCTCGAGCCGTTACGTCCTAGACTCGTACGAGGCGAGTCCGCTAAACGGACTGTCACCTGCCCGAGCCCATTGTTTGCCCCGATTACAAAATTCATGCGAATCTCGCTCGGCGCCAGCCCTTGCGAAACGAACGACATTCGACTATCGGAAAGTTCGGAAAGTTGTTCCGTTTATCAACAGAATTTCGTTTCGCAAGGCTGTTGGATAAGTACTTGATTCGGTGTTCTAACAAGAACTGAAAATAAAAGATACTTAAGATGCTGAAGAAATACTGCCAATAAAAAACAGGACTTCTGCGAGCATAGGATTTTGAAGCTACCAGAAAAATGTTAAAGAGTTTCTGTGCATTTTCTTCTGCTGTAAAAAGTTAAAAAATCGTCTTTCGTCTTCTCGCGAAAGAACGGAACGACTTTCCGAACGAGCCAATAGAACTGGACACATCTGTCATTCCGGACACAGTTGGACGAATTCAGATTTTTGTAGAAGGATGCTAGGAAATTTCGGTTAAGTCGGTTAAGATGTATATTCGAGCTTCCTATCTTATCAAAGCTTGCAGAGCCAAGATCCAGTTTCTGCTTCCGAGTCGAAGATAGATCAAGTTATGCCTCCTCTTATCGATGCTTCTATTAAATGAAAAATGAACGAATCTGTCCGAAGCTCCGTTGAATATAACATTAGACATCATTTCGAAGAGTTTTGGTCTTTACGAATGCGCGAAGTGCTGGAATCTGCGATGAATCTCGACTTTTCGTTCCCGTTTCTCAATTCTTACGACTGCTGACCGAGCAGTTAACGTGTAAGCATCATTCCGACGTGCTTCTCAGTTTCTTTTTTATGATTTCCCAAGGATGCCTTCGAGCTCGTGAAGTCATTTTCGACTCGTGGAAATTCTGGCGAACTGAGAAACCGCGTTGTTCGGATTTTTAGGGACATTCTCGGATCCTTTATAATATAATAATGATTATAATATTTATTTGATCAACGCGAGCAAATCTCTGTGCCACAAAAGTACGACATTTAGTCGCACGGGTAGCAAGTTAAAAGAATTATACAATAAGAAAAGAAAAGATACGATAGATGATTCAAGAATAAAAAAGGTATTGTCTTTATGTTTGTCCGTTGACGGTGGTAGAAATTGGCATAGCGCGGATCCCGCGGCGCACTGCGAAACGAGAAAACTGGCCGCGTAACCGTTGGGAAGTGCAATTACAGGCCGGATGCGAGGCATTGCGATCGGCGTGATTGATACCCTATCGCGGCGCAACCGCGCATACCGTTGTTGTTTTTGTTCCGGCGGCATCACCGTGTCAGAAGTCAATGCAGGTTCACGGTGTTCCCCGCGGCTTCGAGCCGTGTCTTCGCCAGGCTTTCCCAATCATTCATCTTCTATTTGCATCCCCGTTGATAGGGGACAAGCACCATGAATGGGACACTTGTTTAGGATAGAAGTTGCTGTTTACTTGTTTTATTTTCAATTTTTTTTTTGGAAAGCACATTTAGTCCCATTCATCGATTGGCTGTATCGAATGGGACAGGCATATTCATGAATGAGACAGTGTAACTTATTAAAGTAACTTTGGTATTCATCTTATAGATACTGTTTTTTTATTTATTGTAAGTACGTATAATAATATATAATGATCTTAAATTACATAAATCTTTCTTTGCATCTCCGGTTAATATTACATTTTAGTGTTCTATGACAAGAAATAATCCTTTCAGTAAAAAGAAATTTTCTTCACTGTTTATTGCGCTAGATGATTTATTCGCGTCCCATCCATGAACATTCTCTGTGTCCTATTCGTAAAGGCAACAACGTTCAAATTTCAACTTGTTTAATTACCATGATAAAAAAAGATCATTCGATATATGTCAAGATCCTTGAAGAAAGCAATAAATGAAATCTCAGTCAAAAGTAACAGTACTTCAATACAACGTCACGAAGGCTAAAAGAAACGAAATTTAAAAATCAAACGAGAGTTAAAAATTACAAAATTTCGATAAAATTTTCAGCATGCATCTACGAATGGCGTTTTTTAAATTTTCGCGATTGTCTCGGATGAAAAACTTAACAAACGTGAGTTTTGTATTTCTTTCGTCATTCGATGCGATAACGAAGTTAAGAAACAACGTTTCAGTCACTGTCTGCTGCATTAGTCCCTTTATCACTTAAAAAGTCTTTAACACGTTCCGTGCCACGTGTACCATCCATGGTACACGCTTGCATGTTTACTTAGTGAACTGAACAAATTGTTTACAAGAAATTTAGAACCGAAGAATCAATTTCCACCGCAAGAATGGGCGTTGATAAGTTTTTGTTACGTTGTTATGTGTACGAGAATTAATAATTGCACGTAATACATCAAGTTTTAGTAAAATATCAAAGTGTGAAGATTCGAGTAAAAAAAGCTCGGCACGGAACGTGTTAAGTCATTTAGTAGAGTTCGAAAAAAGTTTTAAGGGATGTCCGAGCACTTTTATGGGTCACTGTGTGCAAATTAGTAATTAGTTCGCTGGTAGCGAACGTGTCACACTGTCCCTTGCTCGTCGATGTCGCGTTTACGGATTACTGTGTACACTGTCGCAGGGAACCGAGCTCGACCGCCTTCGCCCCGAAGCTGAGCAACGGCACGATCCCGAAGGGGCCCGGCAAGGACTCGATCGAGGGAAAGGACGCGCTCGAGAAGCAGCAGAGCCACCCCGAGGTGACGAAGCTTTTGGTCAGTCCAACCGAATCAAATCCTCTTAAAACCGCGACAGATCTCCCCGAGGAACCGTCGACCGTCGAACGTCCGTTTTTTAATATCCTTGAAAGCGACGGAGCCAGCGCCCGTCGTTCCCCGCCTCTCTCGGTCTTCGCACCTCCCGCGTAAAAATGATTTCTCCTTCGCGTCGTCGCTTATGTAAACACGCGGCCTCAGCGCGGCGCGGCATGGCCGCGCTGATTGGTCGGGCGTGAGGCAAGCATTTCCCGGAACAGCGGCGATTCGTTGTCCGTGGCTCGTTCCCGCATAATTAATTCGCGAGGTTACGCGCGTCGAAGAATGTCGTTAGTAATCGGAGAAGAAAAGAACGGAAAAACCGAACGGTCGTTCGCTGGCGAAATACATTAGCATACCACCGTCTTAGCCATCGACGGCAGTCCTAGAGTTGGCACCAGCGATCGCTCCGAGATCTGAACGCCGAACCTGCTCGATCGCCGGAGCAATAGGAAACACGCGGTCGCGAGAAACGGTCGAGCCGAACGGCCGAGACTGCGGATTCCTCCGCAGAATTCGCGCTCGTATCTGCCAAGTCTCTCGGGCTGCCAACGACAAGAGGCGTTGTCCCCGTTTCACGATCGTCAGAGGTCCCGCGGAGGTGAGGTCTGTTTGAGGATCGGTTCGGCGGATGATCGAGGGAGAACTCGTGGCTTGGTTTCAGACACCGGTGCAAAGCGGAAGGGCCGGGGAACGACGAGCCAGCAGCCCGTTCCAAAATGGCCAGACGGAGGTGCTGATCGGGGAGCTGGAGGGCGGGCCAAGGTCGCCGCGGGGATCCACGTCTTCGGCGGTGAACGACGCCAATTTCCTGAACCAACCGGACGAACGTGACGACCAGAAGCCCATTTGGAGGCGAGTACCTTCAAATTCACCGGCGATCGATCCGCGTTTATACCGTCTTCTTCAATCCTCCTGCGCTGCGAGGGTCCATTTGTCCATTTGTCCCGGGCCGTTTCCACCAATTGTAATCATTCTTGCTGAACCGTCGAAATTTAAACGCCGATAGTTCCTGCGCTACACGCGCGGGAAACTGGTTATTTTCTGCAATTATTTATTCATTTATTCTTCCACGGGATTGATCCATGTTAGCTAGAGCTACCGAGCCAATCGAAATGACTGGTTTCTGATTTTTTCTTTTACAATTGTTGATATTGTAAGAAAGTTTCTACGAGAATTTTTTAAATACTCTTCTTTAACCCTTTGCGGACGAGTGTCGGCAAATAGCCGCCCAAGTCATTTTATCGTTTTATTTCTTTTTATTAATTTAGTAATTATTAATATAAATTTATTAATTTAACCGTAGGTTCAGAATGAATTTCAGTTTGTCGAGTCGGTCTTTCAGTGTCAATACCAGAGAGAAACCAGCAAAGTTTTCCACATATTTATAACATTATATCTTATAACATTTTTATTTTATATCCAATACCTGTCGTCCACAGCGACGCTCGCCCGTCGAGCGGCTTCGTCCGCAAAGAGTTAAATACTCTTCTATTCAAGCGTCATTATAACAGAAATCGCAGAAAATTTAATTAATCAATGAAATTAGGGCTCGCTGGTTCTAGCGTTGGTATACCAGGAATTATGGTCTCCTGAGCAGCGCGCGGAGGTTGAACTGCCGTGTCCTTTTGCCTTCGGTCGATTCTACGGCACACACTTCTCTAGTAGACGCATCTTTAACCTGCATGTAGACTTTAATCTGCAGTCACGTTGTTGCGACGTTTATCTTGTCGTTGTCACATGTCGCAACTACTCGGCCTCGCCTCTATGTTGGATTTTTAGTTGCGACAGTGCGAATGATTTAGCACGGCTGCTCGGACGAGCAAATGACGATGAGCAAATGAGAATTGTTTCGAGGAGGAACGACGATTATTACCGTCTCAAAGAACGATGATATTGGAGCTGGTTATCGAAATTGGGGATATCATAATTATTGGGATTATGGAATGCAAATGAATATGATTCTAATTCTTTTCTTAAAAAGACTTTATTTTATTCCTTTATTGAGAGAAGGTATATGGGCGAAAACGATCGAGCGACCAAACTCTACTGAGAGTCCGGTAAGAAAAAACGCTTCTTTTATACCCTTCTTGGGTTCGTCTTATCCACCAATCAGAGACGTTTCATCGCGTTTCACATTGTATACGTGACGCTGGGATCCCCAAACAGTCAGGGCACGATGTGTATCTAATGGTACCGGTGATGATGTATCGCGGTATCTATTATATACAGTTTACATCACCGTCGTTGCCCGCTGATGGAACCGACGAAAATGTAAACCGATATCTTAGTATCTTAGTACTAAGTAAACTATAGATTAATTTTTGTTCGTTGTTAAAATTTCCTTTTTTTTTCAACAATAATTGACGCATGCCCGTAGTTAGCTACCGTGCCTGAATAATTCAGTAATCGGCTGCTAATCGTTAATCGCCGCTTCCAAAAAGCCTGATACCGGGTTCACCGATTAATGATCCACGATTTTCAGTCGCTATTATCTTTAATAGCGGCAGACTCTAATGAGACTATTAATTTATCATGCTGCAAACCGAAAACTGGTCGGCGTCGGTACGTCGATTTTGAGAGCGGCGGAAATCGATCTCGATAGAACAGAAATGTAGAATACAGCTCCCTCGGGAGGGGGGGATCGATTATTAAAAGTTCTGGTGACATTACGTTAAAATATTGCATTCGAAACTATGCTACTGTCAGAGCGTATCGGAATTAGGTTAACACGTTTGTTATAGTATTTGTTTGGGATCTATGGTGATCCCAGTATGTTAGTCATTTTTATGAAAACTATTATGAAAGTTAATTGAAACGTCCCGTTTCGGACGTTTTTTTTGCATCTTCAATGCACCAATTTCGAACTTATCGAGAATTAGCTTATACTTTAAGGAGAATACAAAAGTTGAATTATTTAAAAAAAATAATTGCAGACCATCAAGAACTATACCTTTAGAATCTGGTACCACATTGGTAAACAATTAATTAGTGTTATATCAACACTGTGCTCTTTTCGATCCGCCTTCGATATACCAAACAGGAACCTGTTGAAAATCGATTTAGAAGAATATACAGAAATTGCATTAATTGGCACTAGGTTTGCGGAATTCGCGAAGATAACGGGTCACTAATTTTTTAATTCACAATTATTCAATATATCTCTTATTACTAGACTACGGATCTTTTTTATGCAAAATAAAAACTATCCTTTCATTGTTCTCATTAATAATTTTAATGATTTGATAGGAGTATAAAAGTGTTACTGTTCTGCATTCTTTGCATAAATGCATAAAATCCGCAATCTAATTGTTACTTGCGGGCAGATATTCCACTGGTTACAAATCAGAGTAAATGTTTTATAAACTAATTTGAAACAGCTGCTTCAAGTGCTCCGTAAATCTAGCTTCAAAAAAAGACCGTGGGTCATCGAACCCCGGCGAAATCCGTAAGGGTGAAAACTTCTGTAAGATTCGGTCCTCTCGATCTGCACGATCCAAGGCAACCGCGTCCACTTGGGAATTGCAGTTGCAGCGCTGAGGCCACGGGAACTAGATGCAGATCTCGCAGTTGCCTGCAGCTCCGGGCCGCGCCTATGCAGTTCCTTGGCCGGCCGGTGCATAGGCGCCTCCGCAGGTGACTGTTAGATGTCGCGGTAGCCGTGTTGGTCGCCGGTGTGCGCCAGGGATCTCCGTTACCGGGGGGAAACCAGCCGCAGAGGGGTCCAGGGGTGCAAACTTCGTCAAACCGTGGCACCCCCCGGTCCCTCTCGATGAAATTTCGAAGCCGACCACGGTGCCCGGAGACGAATCGTCGCCGGATTAATCCGCGGCGACGTTGCCGGCCCGCCACAATTATAACGCAATAAGGATAACAGCGTTAACGGAGCAGCGTAATGCAATACCGGCGACCCGCCTCCCCGCAAAGTGCACGTTTATGAACCCCGGCCCGGGTATCAAAAGAGCAGCCGCTACCTTTTATTCCCGTGGATCTGGGTCTGGTCTCTCCTTCGAGTTTCGCGATTTTTCGAGAGGTTTCTCGAGGTCGCCGATCAATCTCCGTGGACTGGATTGTATCGGCCACTTTGCTACCCCGGCCCACTCGCGCGGTTCCGCCCTTGAAAGTTCCTCGAGAGCTGCTTTTACGCCGCGATGCGGTTTAACGGTTGTTTCTTTGCGTCGGCCGCGATATTGATTAGCCGAGAAACGTTTCGAGATGGGCTGCGCTTTTCAGCTCTCGCCGACTGCGGAAGGACCACCGATTCCTTGCCGTCGGTCCGATCCTTGGTTCGTCCTCTTCGTTTCGCCGAGCTCTTTACGACGCGATTCGAGGCGAAGGCTTCTCTAAGTCAACCGGAACAGCCGACTTTCCGGATGACACTCTAAAAATGGAACAATAGCGCGAATACGCATCGCGCGCTCGCTAACAGCGTTTGTTTCAACAACAGCTTTCGCAAGCGTAACGGTTTACCGAACACGACGTATCCTCCTGTGAATGATAAACGAAACTGTTGTTAATTGTTGGGGCGATGTCAGGAGATCTTCGAGTATATTGTTGCGAGTCGTAATTTCTAGTAGCCGCGTACACGTAATTAATTTCATTCCGTCGCGAACGCGTGGCATTGCCAGCGAATGTGTTAACATTACCGGTATCCTTACGGATTACAAGTTAATACAGTAGGATCAAATAGATAGAATGAAACAAGAAAATAAAATAAAATAAAATAGAATAGAATGAAATACAATAGATTCAGCTCGAATAAAAGCGGACGTGTTAATATAGGTTTTGAACGGGTTGGTAAATATAGGTTTCGAACGGGTCAGCTGTTCCGCTCTGCATTGTCGGAAAAACTGTCGTAAACTCTGGCTCTGTATTTTTAACCAGTTAGCTGTTTTTTTTTAAGAGTGCACACGTCGTAACAAAAAATGTTGGAATTCGTTTCGCGACGAACGTACTCGTCAAAGACTGCTAACTATTTGAGGATATATAACTTTGAGATTCTCTATTAAATTATTGTATATTTTACAAAAGTGTTCTATTTTTTAAAAAAATTAAAAAACGTGAAAATTTCACATTATCCAAAGAAATTGTAACAGCTAACTGGTTGAATAGATTTTTTAAATGCAAGAAGACCGCACAAATTGACAACGTCTGTTAGCATTTCGATTTTCTCTTCACAATGTGTAATCGTTTGGTCAACGAAGGAAGCTCTCCTTCGATTCTAATTATTCTATGATATATATTTATATATTCTAATTATTGTATGAAAATGTGAATTCGCGTAGAGAGTCCGCGTAGTTCTGAAGTAAGTGGAGAGATGTCGCGATTATGATGAACAGGCTGCGAATCGGTGCCGAACATATTTCTCTCTCGGACGGAAAGGTGTTCCAGGTGCGGCGGAACGAGGCCTAATGAAACGGAAGAACGGTCGCTCGGCCGATGAAGAGAATTAAAAGCGACTAAAAAGCGAGCGCAAACAACGAGTTAACTGGTCCAGCCCGGTTAAGAATTCGAAAGTCCCGGTTCACGGCACCGGGCTCATATTCCCAACTTTCCCGGTAGTACCGGGCATTGTCTTTACGATTATTATCCGAGGAGGCTAGTCGGTCTGGGGGCGGTCTCGCGCGGCTTCTTTTCCGAAAACTAGCTTTGAACTTTTAATTAAAGGCGTGTCGCCCGGGCTCGGTTTACAAGCCGGCTCCGATAATTAATTTCTCGAGGGAGACGGAGGTCCCAGGGCCGAGCTGGGAGACCACCGAACCCACGCTGGTGGCCCCTAGGATCTGCCTAGAGCTAGAATCTTCCCAGAGTCTTCGGACCGGCTGCTGTGAATCTAGATGGAACTAAATCCTGCG